ATTATAAGAACTGCCCCAAACGTACAATCTGTTCCCCTGCCCGATCAAGTTGCCCTACGTGCCGCTTGAAGACCGTTTAAAATTATAAGAACTGCCCCAAACGTACAAAAATCTGTCCCCCTGCCCGATCAAGTTGCCCCACGTGCCGCTTGAAGACCGTTCAAAAATTATAAGAACTGCCCCAAACGTACAATCTGTTCCCCTGCCCGATCAAGTTGCCCTACGTGCTGCTTGAAGACCGTTTAAAATTATAAGAACTGCCCCAAACGTACAAAAATCTGTCCCCCTGCCCGATCAAGTTGCCCCACGTGCCGCTTGAAGACCGTTCAAAAATTATAAGAACTGCCCCAAACGTACAATCTGTTCCCCTGCCCGATCAAGTTGCCCTACGTGCTGCTTGAAGACTGTTTAAAATTATAAGAACTGCCCCAAACGTACAAAAATCTGTCCCCCTGCCCGATCAAGTTGCCTTACGTGCCGCTTGAAGACCGTTCAAAAATTATAAGAACTGCCCCAAACGTACAAAAATCTGTTCCCCTGCCCGATCAAGTTGCCCTACGTGCCGCTTGAAGACCGTTCAAAAATTATAAGAACTGCCCCAAACGTACAATCTGTTCCCCTGCCCGATCAAGTTGCCCTACGTGCCGCCTGAAGACCGTTCAAAAATTATAAGAACTGCCCCAAACGTACAAAAATCTATTCCCCTGCCCGATCAAGTTGCCCTACGTGCCTCTTGGAGACCGTTCAAAAATTATAAGAACTGCCCCAAACGTACAATCTGTTCCCCTGCCCGATCAAGTTGCCCTACGTGCCGCTTGAAGACCGTTCAAAAATTATAAGAACTGCCCCAAACGTACAATCTGTTCCCCTGCCCGATCAAGTTGCCCTACGTGCTGCTTGAAGACCGTTTAAAATTATAAGAACTGCCCCAAACGTACAAAAATCTGTCCCCCTGCCCGATCAAGTTGCCCCACGTGCCGCTTGAAGACCGTTCAAAAATTATAAGAACTGCCCCAAACGTACAATCTGTTCCCCTGCCCGATCAAGTTGCCCTACGTGCTGCTTGAAGACCGTTTAAAATTATAAGAACTGCCCCAAACGTACAAAAATCTGTCCCCCTGCCCGATCAAGTTGCCTTACGTGCCGCTTGAAGACCGTTCAAAAATTATAAGAACTGCCCCAAACGTACAAAAATCTGTCCCCCTGCCCGATCAAGTTGCCCCACGTGCCGCTTGAAGACCGTTCAAAAATTATAAGAACTGCCCCAAACGTACAAAAATCTGTCCCCCTGCCCGATCAAGTTGCCTTACGTGCCGCTTGAAGACCGTTCAAAAATTATAAGAACTGCCCCAAACGTACAAAAATCTGTCCCCCTGCCCGATCAAGTTGCCCCACGTGCCGCTTGAAGACCGTTCAAAAATTATAAGAACTGCCCCAAACGTACAATCTGTCCCCCTGCCCGATCAAGTTGCCTTACGTGCCGCTTGAAGACCGTTCAAAAATAATAAGAACTGCCCCAAACGTACAAAAATCTGTTCCCCTGCCCGATCAAGTTGCCCTACGTGCCGCTTGAAGACCGTTCAAAAATTATAAGAACTGCCCCAAACGTACAATCTGTTCCCCTGCCCGATCAAGTTGCCCTACGTGCCGCTTGAAGACCGTTCAAAAATTATAAGAACTGCCCCAAACGTACAAAAATCTATTCCCCTGCCCGATCAAGTTGCCCTACGTGCCTCTTGAAGACCGTTCAAAAATTATAAGAACTGCCCCAAACGTACGATCTGTTCCCCTGCCCGATCAAGTTGCCCTACGTGCCGCTTGAAGACCGTTCAAAAATTATAAGAACTGCCCCAAACGTACAATCTGTCCCCCTGCCCGATCAAGTTGCCTTACGTGCCGCTTGAAGACCGTTCAAAAATTATAAGAACTGCCCAAAACGTACGATCTGTTCCCCTGCCCGATCAAGTTGCCCTACGTGCCGCTTGAAAACCGTTCAAAAATTATAAGAACTGCCCCAAACGTACAATCTGTTCCCCTGCCCGATCAAGTTGCCCTACGTGCCGCTTGAAGACCGTTCAAAAATTATAAGAACTGCCCCAAACGTACAATCTGTTCCCCTGCCCGATCAAGTTGCCCTACGTGCCGCTTGAAGACCGTTTAAAATTATAAGAACTGCCCCAAACGTACAAAAATCTGTCCCCCTGCCCGATCAAGTTGCCCCACGTGCCGCTTGAAGACCGTTCAAAATTATGAGAACTGCCCCATACGTACAAAAATCTATTCATCTGCTCGATCAAGTTGCCCTACGTGCCTCTTGAAGACCGTTCAAAAATTATAAGAACTGCCCCAAACGTACAATCTGTTCCCCTGCCCGATCAAGTTGCCCTACGTGCCGCTTGAAGACCGTTCAAAAATTATAAGAACTGCCCCAAACGTACAATCTGTTCCCCTGCCCGATCAAGTTGCCCTACGTGCCGCTTGAAGACCGTTCAAAAATTATAAGAATTGCCCCAAACGTACAATCTGTTCCCCTGCCCGATCAAGTTGCCCTACGTGCCGCTTGAAGACCGTTCAAAAATTATAAGAATTGCCCCAAACGTACAATCTGTTCCCCTGCCCGATCAAGTTGCCCTACGTGCCGCTTGAAGACCGTTCAAAAATTATAAGAACTGCCCCAAACGTACGATCTGTTCCCCTGCCCGATCAAGTTGCCCTACGTGCCGCTTGAAAACCGTTCAAAAATTATAAGAACTGCCCCAAACGTACAAAAATTTGTCCCCCTGCCCGATCAAGTTGCCCTACGTGCCGCTTGAAGACCGTTCAAAAATTATAAGAACTGCTCCAAACGTACAAAATTCCATTCCCCTGCCCGATCAAATTGCCCTACGTGCCGCTTACCGACCGATAATAACTATTCAAAAGAAAGTTTATGCCTATGTGCCGCTTGAAGGCCGTATACATAAGAAAAACCAACCTTACGACTCTACGGAAAGAAAACAACGAAATCAGCGTATTCTCAAATTGCCGTACATGCCACTTTTGAAATTTCAATTCTGAGAACTGCCCCAAGAGTACAAAAATCTGTTTCCCTGCCCGATGCAATTGCCCTACGTGCCGCTTACACACCGATTCCTAGTTGAAAGCACCAGCGGGACCCATTAACAAGCAAAAGCAAGGCTGTTATTAGATAAACGTTTCCAAAAGTACCAGCGAAACCAAGTTACTCACGCACTCTCTTGTCTACATGTGGAAGCAAGGCGATCCTAGAGTGATTGTTCTTAGTTAGAGCATTTTCGCAAGAGTTAGGAACTTAGATGAATTTAGCTCAAGTTACGCTGTTGCGCAATTTGACATCATTTCAAAAGCAACTAATAGAAGTACAACATATTTGAAAGACATATAACAAGCTCAAAAAAAGCAACTACAAATAACCACCCGGACACCCGGACGCTGGCGACCCAGTTCTCAAAATCATGGCGGCCTCATGATTGCCTTTCGAAATAAGTGTGACCCTTTTACGAAAATATGCTTGGTCACTCGTTTTGAAATTTGGCAGCGTTCCAAAACGCATGCCACTTGGCAGCAATCCAATTCCAAAGATCAGTGTATTTCATCATAATTTTTACGTCTGCGGCCTCCTCGTTTGCCATGATCCAACTATCGGGCGGCTTAATGGGTAAACAACGAATTTTATATATTACGTAGTGATTAGTATCACTGTTTTCATCCTAGCTCTCTGTTTACAGTTACATCGGTGGCGGAGGAAAGCTGAACGATTACTTGACATGCGTCATCGTCTCTCACTTCCACCTGGATCACTGTGGTTCTCTGCCTCATATGAGCGAAATCATCGGTTTTGACGGACCCATCTACATGACGTACCCAACAAAAGCTATAGCTCCAGTCTTGTTGGTGAGAGCCTTTTTGTAATGTATTTAGATCCGTTGCTAAGTTCGTATCGTTGCAGGAAGATTACCGCAAGGTGCAGACAGAGTTCAGAGGAGACACCAATTTCTTTACATCCGCCAACATAAAGGCCTGCATGAAAAAGGTAGTAAGGTTTTATTGCCTTCGCAGTTAACCACTGGGACCCACTTTTCGCAGAAAAATATCTTTTCGGTAGCTCTATGGAACCATCAGACTAATTTCCAAAATGATCCTGCCGATGTTCAGGTTATTGCTGTTAACCTCCATGAAACCATACAGGTTGACAGGGAGTTGTCAATCCGGGCGTTCTATGCTGGACATGTACTAGGTGCAGCAATGTTTGAGATTCGCGTTGGTCACCAGAGTATACTGTATACAGGTCAGTAACATCGATAGATTTTTTTTTTCAAACATACTGCTTTTTTTAAAGGTGACTACAATATGACTCCTGATCGTCATCTCGGTGCTGCCAGAGTGCTGCCCGGATTGCGGCCAGATTGTCTGATCTCTGAGTCCACTTACGCTACTACAATTCGTGACTCGAAAAGAGCACGAGAAAGAGACTTTCTGAGAAAAGTGCTGATAGAGTGATGGCAGGAGGAAAAGTAACTAACTGTTTCTTTGCTATCGTCATTCAACAGTCACTATGAAACCTTTGCAGGTCCTTATTCCAGTTTTCGCTCTAGGACGTGCTCAAGAAATGTGTATCCTTCTTGAATCCTACTGGGAAAGGATGGACCTCAAAATACCTATTTATTTTTTCAGGGTCTGGCAGAACGAGCAAATCAGGTGAATATTTGTGAGGGATGGCGGTCCGTGAAATTTATTTCGAGGAAGAAAGGGGGCGGGGGACTTTATGAGATGCGTTCTGAAATTTTCCCGGGCCTTTAACCTTGAAATTCCTAGAGGAGGCGTGAATGACAGTCACGGCTAAGAAATCCTTTGTATCAAGCCATTGATATCGTTGATATATTAATGTTATATATTTTGAAAAATTGTTCTTTGTACAGTACTACCGCTTGTTCATAAACTGGACCAACGAAAAGATCAAACGGACGTTTGTTGAGAGGAATATGTTTGACTTCAAGCACATCAAGCCGTTAGATAAAGGCTATGAGGATATGCCTGGAGCTATGGTGCTGTTTTCAACCCCAGGTCTGTCTCTCCGTCTATATTTTTAGGCCTATATCCTTGGTATTCAGGTATGTTACATGGTGGACAATCCTTGAAAGTGTTTCGTAAATGGTGTCACGATCCCAGAAATATGATAATCATGCCAGGTGCGGATAGTACTATTGATATTTACCCAGTAAAGACAGTCGTTCGTTCAGGTTATTGCGTAGCGGGTACTGTGGGAGCAAAAGTAATAAGGGGGATGAAGAAGATTGAAATTGAAGGAAAAATGGTGGGGTGACGGCTTTGATTTACAAATTCTATCCTTGAGTCACTCATTTTTAGCACGACATAAATCTAGCTGTGGAATACATGTTATTTAGCCCACATGCTGATGTTAAGGGAATCATGCAGGTAACTTGCTTATGAGCTGGAAGATTTTGTGTAAAAAATTTATTCAGCTGATAAGAGATTGTCAACCCCGCTGTGTGATGTTCGTTCATGGAGAAGCTGCAAAGATGGAATTTCTCAAGGGGAAATTTGAAAAGGAGAGTTCTTTGAACCTGAATTTGAAGATGAATAGATCAATGTTAACCATTAGAAAGAACTGCCAAGTATCGTTCTTGCAAAGTTAATTTATCATGAAGTTTTAAGATTTGTTGTCCATCAGTTCTCATGATAGTTCACGCTAGTTTTGATAGCAGATTAGAGATGTGAATTATGTAGTGAAATCCGGGTTTTAGGAGTTTCATGTACCTGTCTTGATGCCAGCTAATGGAGAATCGGTAGTGATCCCAGGAATTGCCACTTTGGAGGTCGACGTTCCCCATGATATCGTTCAACGATGCATTGACCTCGATCCAGCTCCTTCGAAGAAAGCGTGCCCATTTTCTGCCTGTTTGATTATGGATAAGCAGGTGCTGCTGGACTATCAATCTCTTCTACATCAAAAGGGTATTTACAGAATGGTCTCGAAGTGATTTCTTGCGAGGCAGCTGCGAATAAACTGCAAATGGGTCTTCATACTATCACTCTGTCGCAGCTGATAAAATCGCGTAATCCCGTAGATTGGAGAGCCCTCTCAGAGGCGCTGACAATCCATGACAGCAATCTCCAGCATAAGCAAGTATGCCTATACATGTCGATAGTTTCGAACGTGGCTAATCCAGTTTTTCAGGACGGAATAGAGCTCTTCCATGGTGAAATATGCGTTTTACCCGTAAAAGGAGACGAAAATCAGGTAATTTTTGTTGTTCGGTATACCAGAATTTGTTTACCCAAAGTTCTTTCAACTTTATCGTTGCCAATTGGCCCAGCGCAATAGGACTATCTCGTACGCCGGAGTTGGTAAAACTGCTGTAGAGTTTATCTACTGTCCACGATCTAAAATCTTCTCATAACATTCTATTGCTCACATTGGTTCAGTGCTCTGGTTTTCAAACTACCAAAACAAAGTTTCGATAGGCGGATAAGATAATAACTGAAACTTAGGCACTAAGTTTATTTGGTGTCTTGTATTCTTTTTTTTCACTGTCATTTAGTAAAACAGCTGCGAATATTTAGGTGGAATTGATATGGGATGAGTGCCGAGAGGCCTGGCAATCAGTGATCATGCAGACTATACAAGAAACGCTCAGCAAACAGCCTCTAGGCATAACCTGAGTTCTTTTCGAAACCATTGCGATATGCATCTTCAATGATCGTCAGTCATGTACATGTGAAATCTCATACTCGCTCTGATAATAAATTATTCATGCGTTCTGATTCTGTTGGTATATCATTGGTTCCAACCACTATTTTCTACGCTGACCGTTTGCCGCACATAAAGACAAAGTTATCATATCCAGCCCTTCACTTGTGACCAATCAAACATGTTCCTCTCTTCAGCTCATCGATTACGTTTTTTTGTCCTACTTCATAAAATTTCTTCCTTCACCACTGTCAAAACTTCTCTATTTGCGGCTTAGCGATTTCTCTTGAATTTATTTGTTTTTGACACCTCTGAGACGCTTTCAAAGTTGTCCTAGAAAATGGGCTGCACGTCAGGAGATACGCCGCGCACGCCGCGTCCCGATCTTGGGACCCATAGAGCTCCCCATATCAGAGACTCCCGGCGGCAAAAAACGGGGGTGGGGAAGAGGCAGATACATGACTCAATGCCATAAGTAACATTGCGCCTGCAGTGCTGCTATTGTATTGGTTGAAGTACGTTGCGGCGTCGCTTCGCGAAAAATTCGCGCCGATCGTACCTCCTGACCGTCCCCCAAATGTGCCTATTGTTTGATAGCTAGTAACTTTATTGTCATGAAGTCTTTGGGGAAGCTAGGTAGCGTTCCATAGAACTGGCTTCAACTTAATTTTGCGGTATAAAACGAATCCGTGTTCTCTTCGTCATTGTAGGATTACGGTAAGAACCTCTAGGATACAGCGCCATTGTGAAATAAGTCCTTGATAAAAAATTTCAAGATATTTGGAGATCTATGTAGCAAGGTTGTACATGCTCATCTCGTTACAAGTTTTTACAAGATTTTTGAGCTCTTTCAGTGGCATAATCACATTTTTGAAGAACATTGGAAAGGCAGCGGTTAGCATACTTTTAATAACTTTTGAGATAAGCATGACCTTGGTGCACAAGCTTCATATTTGGAATCATCGACTTCGATTAGCCAGGTATAGAAGTTTTTTTGATTTGCTCGGTTTTCTCACTTGAACAAAATGTAACTCCCAATGGTTCAAAGTCGTTCAAAGTTTCTACCGTAATCCTTCGGTAGGATTGAATGATTGGTGATTCGTTCTATACATCAAATAAGCCAGCTAACTCAAAGCTCTTCCAAAGAGTTCATGACAAGATAGCAATTAATAATCAAAAAGTAGGCACATTTTTGGAACACCTGTATGTGTGATTTGTGGGTACTGGTCGCATTGAACATATTAGGTTGTCCCGAAAGTTTTCTCGGTTATTCTAAACCAGTGCGTCACCTCTGCTTCGCAGAGGCTCGCACTGGCCCTACTTCCTCTATGTACTTACTTATGTACTGTACTTTCCTTACTCATTCCCGCATAATAATGACACTGGAACTCACCGCGCTATGCAAGCTATCACGAATGATTTGTAAACAACTACTCATTCCGAGAGCTTTTTTGCGTGAGATAGGCATTTTCGCGTGGATGAAACTTTTTCGAGAAGAATAAATGCAAATTTGAACCGGTTTCTGGACTTTTTATGGTCTGGTAGTCGCCATAAGGACAATAATTACCGCTGGCTACATCTCTGTGCAAAAATCTTCTCAAATGATTAGGTAAACTCTTGGCAAATTGAACATTTACGCAACTACTTTTTTCGGCGCCATTTTCGTGAAGTAATAAACTTTAGTTCAATTTTTTGGGCTAAAGTCCATGGCTTTCACATTAGCTTGTTAAACATATCATGACTTTGCAAAAAGTGGTGGTACAGGCCCAATTTTGCTGGCCAGAAGCCATATGGATACGTTTGAAGCGCAATTTTTCAGTGATCTACTCAACGGATCCGCTCGTGCTTTTGCACAGCGAAGTTTCATGCTGCTAGCATGCGCGATGCAAAATTTGGGCTCAAGAGGTTGGCTGGAACTCGCTCTATGAACTTCGTAACGGACAGACAGACATACACACAAAAACACGTAAACAACCCTCAGTCCGTTATTATAATTACCAGTGCGTCACCTCCGCTTCGCGGAGGTTCGCACTGACTCCCTATCCGTATTTCTCATGCTCGCATGAGAATGGCTTTGAACACTATCTCAGACATTCGCAGTTAAGTCCCGCCGGTGAAAAAGTTGTGTCCCGCCGGAATGACTGCGGGACACAAGTAAAATGGTTCGCGAGAAAACCGGGACTCCCGGTTTTCGTTCGGGATAATGCGGCGCGACTCCCGGTTTTGTCCCGACATGTTTTCTACTGAGACCTTCGGGAGTCCCGGTTTTCTCGCGATTCGGTCACCGGCGGGACTCCCGCTCTAGACTGCAGTCTCCTGCGGGAGGCGCGATATAGCAGCGACCCGATCAGCTTCCGCCTGGGCTTTTTCTAGAATTGGTTCTCCTTCAAAAATTCACACTACACACATCTTACAAAGGTGCTGTGCTCGACACAGATTTCAGAAAGACTCTTCATTAGCATTCGTGACCAAAAAAAGAACATTGAAATCATCATAACTAAGTTAACAGAAAAAACAGGAATGTCGAGATCAAGATTTGACATTGAATCCATTATTCAAATCGACTTCAGACTTTCGATGTCTTCGTCTTGCTCATGCTCTGGCTCATTCGTGTGCTCGTGCGCCAAAGAATCTTGCGTTGTAGCGGGGCAAAAACGTTTTTTCTGGAAAAGAATTACAATTCAACACTGATTTGAGAAATCATATATGAATATTACTGAGGGTGGCGACAGCATCTCCTTTTCAGCATCGAAATGGTAGGCGCGCAGGTCACCTCGAACTTCAAATTCAATAGATTCATGAAGACTATCTTTAAAAGAAACCCACAAAGCTCTTCCTATAGCCACTCGTGCTAATCCACAAAGCTTCATCCTCGCCTCCGACAACCTGTCAAACATCTTCGTCCTCGCCTCATCGTCGTTCCCTAGGCCCAGCCAAAATCTAAATCAATGAGATATCAAGGAGTAGAAACACTTCTATCTATACCTATTTGATTGCCGCGCGCATTCGCTAGCACTCACTCAGCAATCATAAGTATGAACTAGGATTAAAAGGTATCAAAAGATTTTGGGGTATGAATGGTAGTTTCCCAAAAAATCCAAAGACTTCGGACTTTTTGAGACTCACTTAAAAACACGAAAAACAAAACAAAAGAAAACCGACGTTGCGCAAGATGCCCCAAAGATTTCAACATCGTAAATTATCTTCAAAGAATTCCGCTACAACTAATAGAATATCGGACGAAGGGGGACTCAGTGGAGAGTCAACGGCATAGATCCGCATAATCTTCTTTTCTGATTTCAAAAAATATTACTTTGTTTTCAAAAGAAGACATTGTTCAGGAATGTATAATTTAGTACCATGTAAGGATGTTGACACCACCAGATATAAACATGAAAAAATGAATAAAAACAAACAATAGTTGATTCTCACAAAACGAAGAGCAACACATTCGCGACTTTTACATCTTCACATGAAGTGTGCGACAAGCGCACTAAACTGGCACTTACTAATAACGCCATAACATGACAGAAAAAAAACAGCTGTTTGCGCAATACGACCACGGCGATGATGACAGATGGCAGATGTTCACAAACAAAAAACCAAAAATGCACAAAAAAGAGGTGAAAACACGGGAAAAAGAGAAAGCACTCACTGTAGTCGCCAAAACGTCATTTTCAGCTGTGGCGCAGATTTGACTGATCATCGGATCATTTGAAGGCGTTCCATCTTCGACACATGCCATTAACCAATAATGAATCGAACATGACAGATCCGGGTAAAGAAATGCTTTGGCGACGAACTTTGCGTGCGAGTCAATCAAGTGTGCCTATAAAAACTCTATAAAAAGAGAAAAATACTGACTCCCAAAATCATTTCTTGCAGGTATCTCCGAGTTAAATCCGATGAACATGTACACCAAGAAACGAAACCAGCCTTCGAACACAACTGCCTCCGACGACGGCAAGAGCGTAAATGAAAACTGCTGCGGAAGCGGTGCTACTGCGGTGCAACATGTCACAACATGTTGGCGCGGCTAAGATGTTCTGTCAACATGTTGTGGCATGTTGCAAACATGTTACAACCACGTTGCCAACATGTTACCATGTTAGCTGGATGGCGAGATCGCGACTCCCGGTTTTCTCCCGCTTCATTTTTTGTGTCGGGATTGTCCCGAAATTCGGGACAAAACCGGGAGTCGCGCAAGACTCCCGGTTTTTTCGCGAAATCTCATTTTGTGGGCGGATCTCCGGCGGGACTTAACTGCGAGTGTCTGAGATGCCATGCTGAGCATCACAAATGAATCGTAAACAACTGTTCATTCATGAAGCATCTCCATGTAAGATCGGTAATTTTGAGAAAAAAAAACCTTGTTGCAAGGAAACAAATGCGAATTTGAACGGATTACTGAGTTTATTTTAGTTTGATAATCGTCATTAAGATAATGGTCACCTTGGACTACATTTTAGTGCAAAAATATTTTCCGTTTTTTCAAATAAAACCTTGCCAAATCGACTATCCACGCGTTCATCCCTTTTTGGCGCTATTTTCGCAAAAAAGCAAACTTTTTGAGCATTTTTTGGGCTAGAATTCATGGCACGCAGAGTTACTTGTCAGACAAATCATAACTTTGCAAGAAGTCGAATTAGCGACCCAGTTTTGCGTGCCAAAAGACGCGTGGACCCGTTTGACGCGCAAATTTTGAGGGACCCGCTTAGCGAACCGGCTCAACCTTGTGCATGGTGGGCCTACACGCTGGCACGGTATGTTATGCAAAATTGCAGTCCGATATCTTAGTTGCAGCTTCCTCTATGAATTTCGTGACAGACAGATTTTCACACAGACACACACAAAAAAAAACAGACGGCCTTAGCGCGTTATTATAGTAGGATTCTAAATAGCCATAAAACCTCTTACAATAAAGTATCAAATGCGGTTGAATGTGCATTCGATGCAGCTTTTCTTTTTCTTTCTGATTATTACATTTTCAAATCATAATCTCTAGAAACTTTCGAAAATGCTAAAATTCTCTACTCGTCATTTTTATCTGCTCAAAGTTCGGTTAATTTTT